CATGTACCACTCTTTGTCTAGCCCAAGAGTGGGGAACCTGCAGCCTCAAGGCCCTTTGGATCCAAACTTCACAGAAGTGAAACCGGGACTCAGCCAAAAGGCCACGCCTAAGGACCTAGAAGGCCACATTTGCCTGCCATTCATTACTTTGCAGCCTTAAAGCCACACTTTGCCTCTTGCCATTCCCTTTTTGGGACATGCTGTGCTTTGGTCTTCAACACTTCCTTCTTCCTTGCTATTTATTTATTTGTTTTTTTGTTTTTTTGCTTCATTGACTTGGCCAATTCTTCTGGCTTCTGGTACTGGCTAGTTGCATTCTACTACTTCCTCTATTCTCAATATCTGAATTCCCCTTTTATATTGCCTTCCTCAGCACTACCTTTTCTCAGCCTTTACTGTTCCTGTGAAAGAAGGTTCAATCATCCATCCTGATGACCCTGGCTGGACTCAGCTCAGATCCCTCTCAAAGCAAGGCCATAAGAACTAACACAAGAGAATCTTATAGGAAATTAGGGGCCTGGGGCAGTATTTTGATTTCTCACGGGAATACCCTCAGCTTCATCTAGTTCAGTCAGTGCCCATTGTCCCTGACAGAGTTTCCCAGGGATGTGCTGATAAATGTTTAACAACTAGCTCAACAGAAAAAAAAGATTTTTTTTTCTTCTTGCATGGGGCACACTTTTAAGTTTAATTAGAATTAACATTTTTCTCAATTACTTTCTTTTGTCTAAATCAGTGGTATCAAACTCAATTGAAAAGGAGATCACTAAACCATAGATAAGTTCCCTGTGGGCCTTATGTTGACTTGGTTACAAAATGTAATGTTTTCAATGTTTTATTGGATTTTTATTAATTTTGTTAAATATTCTCCAATTATATTTTAATCTGGTTGCTTGGGAGTTGATACCCCTGGGCCAGATAATCAACAAAATCACAACTCAAACCCTGATTTATAGAGTTTGGTGAATTCAAAGGTGTAAATGGTGGCACTGAAAATTTAACAATTGACTTGGAAGGCTCAAGCTGGCTCCCACACACTCTTGAAGTTTCCTTGTTTTTATCCTAGCTACCTAAGAGGCTTTCCCAGGGCCACTGCCAGAGCTAAACTTGTAGGGACCCATGGCAGGTTTTTCTGCAACACACGTCACCTTCACACTTATTTCCTTCTCTGAAACTCCTTAGAAATCAGTCAAACAACAGGTCTATATTAAGTGTTCATGAAGTGTCATCTGTCATAGTATAGAAGGTAGTTAGCAGGATGTGCTCATATTTCTTTTTTCTTTTCTTCCCCCTCCCAGGGTTGCTTGGATCAGGCAGCCCGCAGTTTGCTGGAGTGGCCATGAGATGGCACTCCAACATCCTTGGTAGTCAAAACTGTCTATTCATTGATTCATTGGGCAAGAGTTAATCAAGTGCTGAATGTGTTGCAAGGTGCTTCGAGTGCTAAGCTCTGTGGAGGATAAAAAGAGGAGTAAGATGCATTTCTTGGCCTCAGGAAGATCACAATCTAGTAGGGGATATCCTGAGCACAGCAATTTAATACACAGTGAAACGTGCAGGGAGGCTCAGAGTGTTCTAAGCATGAAGGAGAGGGGGAGGTCACTTTTAACAGTTAGCTTCTCTTTCGGTGACCAGGATTTAAAGATTCAGGAACCTCCTTTGGAAACAAATTCAACTTTTCATTGGCAAAGGAAAATATTACAATGTGCATGATTCAATTCAACAAACAGCTATGTGCCCCGAATAGGAGCAGAGTTTACGGTCTGTAAAGTGTTTTGGGTGGCTGGGATTGAGATTAGTACTAGAGAAATACAGTGTGGTATGTTGGAAAATGTGCTAGACTTAGCATCAGAAAGGATCTGGATATGAATCATACATCTGACACTAGCTATATGATCGTGGTAAATATTTAACTTCTTGTTTTTGGTTTAATCAGCAAAATGGGGATAATAATAAAGGAATAAATGAAAAAGTATTTCAGGGCTTTTGGTTGTTATTCAGTCATTTTTCAGTCATGTCTGACTCTTCGTGACCCCATTAGCATTTCGTGGGCAAAGATACTAGATTAGTTTGCCATTTCCTTCTCCAGCTCATTTTATAGATGAGGAAACTGAGGCAAACAGGGTTAAGTGACTTGCCCAGGGTCACATAGCTAGTAAGTGTTTGAAGCTAGATTTGAATTGGAGAAGATGAGTCTCCTGACTCCAGGTCAGCTACTTTATTCACTGTGCCACCTAGCTTCCCCATTTAAGTGCTTACTTTGTGCCAACACAATATTGAAGAATTTCCTGCCCTCATGGAGAATACATTCTAATGGGGAGTAGTAGCCAGGGTCAGGTGTTTTGTTTGAGAAGTCACAGAGATAGAGAGTACAATTGGATAGGCAAGATCTTTCCAGAGGCAATAGTAGTTTTGATTGGATTCAGTTCTGAGAGCAAGAGTTGGAAAATAATAGGGCATTTTGTTGTAGCTTAGAAGACAGCTTGGTTGAAGAAGGGGATGCACCATCCCAGAAAGCACCAAACTGGGTGGCTTAGCTCCTGAGGGCATGATCTCTGTTGGTATGCACCTTATAAGAATATGTGAGGATCAAATAAGAAAAGATATATAAAATGCTTCGTAAATCCTTGAGTGCTATAGTAATATGAGCTAATATTTTTTATTATTAGGAAATGAGTAAATACATTGGAGAGATCAGACAGAGGGTATGAGAGGTACCAGAATCATGTCTTGCTGGAAGAATTAATTCATTTTAATAGATAAGGAGAACTACAAGAAATATCACTTAAAACTATTTATATGGGATAGAATTAAAAAAAAGGAAAGGATATAAAGAACTATCCTAAAAGTAGAAGAGCTTACAACTGAACATTTCTTGTACTCCCATTACAAAACTACCTGAAATTTTTCTCCCTCTACATTCTGCACTTCTCATATTATTCTTTCATACTATATTATAGCTCCTTGTATGCTTGTCATTTCTCCCCTAGTGTACTGGGAGTTTCATGGGGGAGGGGACTATGGCTGCTGCTTCTTTTTATCCCTCACAGCCCGGCAGAGTTAAGTCAACAACCATTTATTAGAAACTTAGTATGATCCAGTCACTGTGTAAAGCATGGGGGATACAAATGCATGAAAGAAGGGAGTCCCTGCCCTCAAAGAGCTTACATTCTAATGGGGGAAGATAACACATAAAAGGGAGCTGAAAAGGGTGGGAGATGGGAGAGCAATGAAAAGGGATGGCTTGCCTGGGCCCTTTCTCAAAATGGAGCCTCCAAGAAAATTTACTAATGGGAGAAGGGGCCATAGTGGCAGAGGAATGGCCCCAAATGAGAAGGCCAGATGGGATAAGGAAACTTCAGCAGGAGAAGGCAACTGAGGCATGATGGATAAGTCTGAAGCATCAGAAGCAGAACCAGAAAGAAAGATAAGAGAAATTTTCTTTGAACCTCTTTGTTGAATTGAAAAGAATCTAGTTCAATTTTCTTGACCCTCCCCTCCTTCACAGTCTAAGACCAAAGGTTCACACCTTTGACTAAGAAACAAATCCTCATGCTGCTTTGACCCTTGGAGAGTGGTCCAGATATTTAGAGTATTAGGGACTGTGTTAAGAAAATGAGGGTCAATGGAAGGACTTGAGAGTGCTAAACTTGAAGGAAAGTAAGCTGAGGGGGATTATTGTAGTTCTTTTCACATATTTTAAGAAAAATTGCCACATGGTAAAAAAAAAATTAGACTTTTTGTTTGGCTCCAAACAACAGATCTGGGAGCACCAGGTAAAATTACCAAGAGGCACATTTTAGGTTGGTATGGTATGAGGGAAATTTTCCTAATCAGTAGTGATGGCCAGAAATAATATGTAATGGAGTGCTTCAGGAAAGAGGAAGTTGGTTTTGTTTGTTTGTTTGTTTTTGCAAACTGGATGGCTGCTAGATCATGGATCTTCAATTCAAATTACTTTGTATTTACCTTGCATTTACTTTGTATAGATTTTGTATCTATGATATTTGTAAATGTTGGTTTCCCCTAAATGTAATCTCCTTGAAGGCAGGGACTGTCTCATTTTTGTCTTTGTATTGTGAACAGGTAGCCAGTGCCTAGGACATAGCAGATACACGTGGGCAAAGCATGTTTCTAAGAATGGGGAATACACATACCACAAAAAAAAAAGGTCCTGTCTTCAAAAAACTTATATTCTACTGGAAAAAAAATAGAGAGGATTCTTGTTCAGGTGCACGTTGCGATAAATGACCTTGGAGGTCCCTTCCAATTCTGAGATTCTGTGCTTCTGTAGGCTGGCCTGGAAAGCTTCAGATGTTCCGGGGTTTTTTGTTCTCTATTGAAAAGCCCAGTATGCTTGGGCCTGTATCCTAGATGTCCAGTCTTTGTTTAGATAGCAACCTACTTTATCAAAATTCATTTGGGACTTCCCTCTAATAGCGCCTGAAAGACCCTGGGGCTCCTAGCCCTCTCCTAGTTCCTATTCAACAAAGGCTCATTTTAAGACAAGAAACAGACAATTTAAAAGGCACTCTCATTTTACTTTTTCAAAATGCCTTGCTTTAGAGTTGCCTGACTTCTTGTATCTATCTGCTATCCCCTATGTTTTTTAATCTTTCCTTTTTCCTACACTAATGAAAAAAAGTCCATATACTTTGTCCTGGCCCAAACCTAGTCCATGATGTTTTTATCTGAGGCATGATCTATTATCCTGACGAGCTACTTTTAGCAAAGTCATTTCTATTCTTCCTGTGTTTTTCAAGAAGGAATCTTCCACATTTTTCTCTCCCATTCCCTTTTCTATTCTACCTCAGGATAATATCAACTATTGCTAGCTTGAGAAGAACATGATACATAACAAAGGTACTCACTGTGTTTGGAATACAAAATCGAATGATTATTTAAAGAACACCCTCTGCCCCCCTCCCCCCACCCTATTGGAATGTTAACATTGTGCATTCATAAAGAGGTACATTATCAATGAACAAATCTTTCATTAGGAATGTTCCAAGAGGGCCAACAACGGGAAATTCACTCTACGAGATTTACTTGTTGTTCCTATGCAGAGGGTTCTGAAGTATCATCTCCTGCTCCAGGTATGTAATTTGAAGCGATTCCCCCATCTGCTCCCATTTCTTTGAAGAAATTGGGTGTTGCTTTGGTTTATTGTTGTTGTTGTTTTTCTATAAAGTCAGCAGGGCATTTTATCTCTTGGATTCACATTATCCTTTTCCCTTGCTATTTTGGGGAACTCTGTAAAGCTGATTATTAAAGGAATTTAATAAGCCCAGGGCCCCAGACTAGGGCACAGTGTTTTCTCTAACCATCAAACTATATAGTATACAGTTAACAAACTCCCACATAACTTCATTTGCCCTTTTCCCTCACACCCTCCAGAGCAAACATTGCTCAAAAGACAATAAAAATTAGCTTATCTTTGTGTGGATGAAAACTATCATTAAAGTACAAACAACAAGAAACAGGGCTTCAAAGAACAGAAACAGTTTAACAGGTAATGATCAGATAGAGGAGGTAAGGAAGAGCAGTGGTGAAAAGGAGAGTGGATAAAATCACCAGATCCCAACGGGGATAGGAGGCAAGCACATTTTTCAAGGCAAACATCAAGTTCTGTCCAAGGAGATGACAACCTAAATTGATTGACAAGATAGTCAAGGATCCAGCTGCTCTTAATTATAATCATTCCAGGATAGTTCAATCTTTCATTTGCCGTTGGCTGCCCCCACTGTATCCCATGTCCACACTCCTCACTGGAAACTCTAGCATTCCTGGCTCCCCTGTCTGGCTTTCCACAGTCCTTCTTCTTCTTCAAGCTGGGAAAACCCACATTTTCCTGCAGCCCTGATCCCAATAAGGGACTATATTCCTTAAAAAAGAGAAATTGCTCTACTGAAAAGAGCCATTAATCATTAATTCCCATTTCTGTAAAATGCTTCCTTAGAATCATTGGCTTCCTTTTGGTTTTGATTTTACCTCCTATGGGAAGCCTTCCTTAATCCCTCTATTAGCTGTTAATATTCTCCTCAAAATATCATGTGGAAGTGGATAGAGGTAGATTAGGTGAATCATTGATCAAATTGAGGAGATTCCTAAATCACCCCATAAAATTATAGGGTATAGATTATTGGCAGTTCCTGAGCAAATTGAAGGTATTCCTCAATCAAACCAATGAGATTACAGGGCATTTGCCAGTGGAAGAAGGCAAATATGGAAGGCCTAGTGCTTGGCTCCTTCAGGATCAACTATACCCCCTTGTGTTCTATAAACAAAGTCTGCCTATTTATTCTCTGGGGCTCTCAGTTTTATACGACTTGCTGTTTCTTTGCTGGGTATAAAAACCCAAAGACAATTAGGAAAGAAAAACAAAGGTAAAAATAAAAGCAAACAACTAAAAGTAAGAAAACAAAGAGTGAAAAGGAATGGAAAAAAAATCCCTGCATCTTTTCATCCTTAGAGTTGAAGCCTGGTACCAGATGAGCTCCCAACATTTGTTGGTCTCTTCTAAAACGGGCATGATCTGGGGTTGATTGCATATTACCCTCTTGCCTTTCAATGAGAAACACAACTATCCTAGATGAAAATTTCTACTCTGGGTCCCTTCAGCACATAGGGATAACCCATAAATTTCTCTAGCATGTCCCTGTCATGCATAGAGCATTCTAGATAGAGATCTGAACAAAAGTTTCTCTAGTCTTACAGGACACAGATCACCTTCAGATTTCTTCAGAGGATCCATGTGAAACAGAATACCTTCCAAATGTAGGTGTGAACTCACCCTAATTAGGACAAGCAAACTAGCTCAAAAAGAAACTGAATGGTTTTGGATGAGCCTCAAAGATGTATGAGACTCTCAGAAAGGGGTTACAAGCTTGGAATGGGTAGCAAATCAACTACTTACATCCCCAAACCTTTCACAATAACCGGGATTACCATGCTAACAACACCTTATCCCTATAGTAAAACTAACCTGTTTCTAGGTAGTCCAAACCTAAGCAACCTGGTCAGGGGCTAATAATGGCTCCCAAACCCTACAATTTTACCAGGTTGCTTAGGAAATTCTTCAATTTTGTAAGAGATTCTTCCGATCTAACCAGACTCCCCCTCCTCAATGCATATAGACACTTTTCCAATTACATATTCTCTCCCCTCCCCACTCTCAATGGAATGTAAGTTCCTTGAGAGTAAGGGTTATTTTCATATTGTCTTTGTTTTCTTAGTTCCTCACACATAGTAAGGGCTTAGTAAATGCATCTTGGATGAAGTGGAATTTGACAAATTCTCTTTCTACTTGTGGCAATTCTCTACTTGTCAGCAACCAAATGGGATCGTCAAGCATCCCCCTCTGCACCTCAATGAACACCTAAGATTTTATTTGTAGCTTTGAAAAAGGGCTGGGGAACTGGTAGTTTTATGAAATAACAACATTAGTCTCCTTACTTCATCAGGATAAACTCAACTGGACTCTGCCATCTTTTGAATTGCTTTCTGCTATACTAAATTACAATAAGACCTATTTATTTTAAGATGATTCTTGTTATAACCCACAAAGCTCTTGGTTTCCACAGTTAGCCCTGTAATGAGGGTGGAGAGTCTTATAAATTTAATTTGATAGCTGTGCCAGGAGATTCATTAGTTCTGCTCCAAAGAAATGCCTTACTGTATTAGGCTGTCAGCCTTGTTGATGGTTGTGAAATGTCATCTTAAAAAGATCTACCACCTGTACGGGAAATATAATTTTTGACTCTGCTTTGCTTTGTATGTCTTGTATATTAAATTTCTTGAAGTATGTCCATAAAAATATTAGTCATCTATATTTTGTTCTACTGAGAAATCAGAAAAAATCCAAGCCTTGATTATTTCTTAAAAGTGCATTAAAACATTTATGAGCCCCAAACTGAAGGCAACATAATCAAATTGTGGTTTATGAAAAAATGATTAGGAATACGCAGTCAATCAGTGCCCAAGGCATCAGAGAACTAAAAACATGTCCTGAGGAACAAACCAAGAGGTTCTTTTATAACTTTGTATTTATCAAATCCCTACTCAAGTATGGGGAAGGTGTGATTTTTTTTTATAAAGTAAGCAATACTTTAGCCTTTTTAAAAAAAATTTTAACTTAACTTTTTTGTAACATATGTTTGTATATATATTTTATCTTTAATATATATTTTTGAAATTATCAGAATTTCTTCTTGATTTTTCTATTAAAAAGAATGGTCAAGAAAATCCATTTCATTAGCCTGGAAATATGTCGCAGGAAATGCTTTTGTGTTGTTGGATTTTATATGTGCTTCATTACATTTTTTAAAAATGACCATTTTAACTTGCCAAAGGGAAGGAAATAGTGATAATAAAATAAAATCCCAGTAGATCAGGATACCTATAAGTTGGCAGGCCAGGGAAGGAATGCTATGGCCTTTTTTTCATATTGCAGAAAAGACTTCTTACTTCAAAAAGGAAAAATATATATTGTTTCAAGAATCATCATGCCCTTTTAGCCTAATGCATTTTCCTTTTACAAAATTCTTCTTTTGGTCAGTGTCCACTTCTTTTTCTGTTTCCATAAGACTTACTCATGGTGTTTACAATAATGATAATAATAATAATAATAATAATAATAATAATATTTATACAATGCTTTAAGGTTTGCAAAGTGCTTTATTTGTCTTGTCTCATTTGATCTTTATAGCAATCCTGGGAGATAGGTGCTATTGTTATCCCCATTTTACCACTGAAGAAACTGAAGCTGAGAGGTTGTGACATGCCCAAGGTCATACAGTTTGTGATTGAGGTAGCATTCAAATATAGGTCTTGACTCCAAGCTGAATGCTCTAGGCACTGTACCACTCAGCTCTCTCTACCAGAGTGATCATGTGTCTATGTATTTGTAGAATGGGTTTTGCTTTTAAAGGGCTTTTTGTACAACCACTGCCATCATTTGTTTCAAGAGTTGTTTTAAGAAACAGCAATGTCTTCTATATAACAGGAACTGGTGAAACACACGACTGATCCCACTGAGAAGGCAAACCTCAAACAGGCCCTTGATGCAATGAAGGTAAGTAAAGAGCTTCAGGTCCCTGCTTTCACCCCACAATATGGGATTGTAAACTTTAAGCAAAACTAAACCTTAAAAGTCATTCAGTCAAACACCTTCATTTTACAGATGAGGCCCAGAGAGGTCAAGCTATTCACCCAAGGTCACACAATTCATAAGTAGCAAGTAGCACTTCCAGGAAGTGGAGACTTGTCCCTGGCTCTAAACGTAGAGATCTTTCCAGTATACCTCAAATGTTGCAGTCTCAAAATGACCTTTTCCCCCCCTTTGTATTTATTGATAGCCTAGGTGTTTATAGTAGATTTAAAAACTTTTAGATGGATTGATGTAATTTAGTGAAAGACATTAATACCAGTTGGGACTTCTTAATAACTTCCATCAGAAATGATTCTCTATAGAAAGCTCAGAGACATGTCCAAATAATGTAGAGCAGATTATTTAATCTGGAAGTTACTTTGATAATACTTAAACCCTCGAGAGGAAATAACAGTGATAATTTGATTTATGTTGCAAGTTTTGGAAGAATTTAAATTGGCAGAATTATAGAATTTCCAAGTTGGAAGTGACCATCTCTTCAACTCATTCCTGAAAAGGAACTCCCTTGAAACATATACACAAGAAGCCATCCATCCTTTGTTTGAAGCCTTTCTATGACATCTTCAGATGCTCTCCTAGGGCAGCCCATTCCACTTTGGGATAGCTCGAATTGTTCATCATTCCTGTATGTCAACCCCAAATTTACCTCTTTCAATTCCCACTTGTTGCCTCTAATTCTACCTTCTGGAACCAAGCAAAACCAGCCAAATCCCTCTTTGGGGGATAGCCTTTCAAATACTTAAAGGCATCTGTTGTTGTTATTGAGTCGTTTTAGTTGTGTCTAACTCTTTCTGAGTCCATTTGGAGTTTTTCTCAGCAAGCATTCTGGAGCAGCTTTCCATTTCCTTCGCTAGCCCATTTTACGGATGAGGAAACTGAAGCAAACACGGTCACGTAGCTAGTAAATGTCTGAGGCTGGATTTCAATTCATGAAGATGAGTCTTCCTGATTCCAAGCCCGGTGCTCTATCCACTGAGCCACGTAGTTGCTCTTTTTCTTCAGTCTAATCATCTTCATCCCCTTCAATTGATTCTCAGTGGTATAAACTCGAAGCCTGGTTCATATTGTCCTTACTAAAATATGGTGCCCAAAACTGAGCAAAATACCTTACTTGTAGTATGTGGTAAAGTACAGTGGAATCATCAGCTCTTTATTCCTTGAAACTTTCCTCTTATCATAGCCTGTTTGAACTAATTTTCTTAGCTGTCATATCACACTGTGGATTCATATTGAACTTATGGTCATCTAAGACTCTCATTTTCCCTTTTTAGACAAATTGATGGTTGAGTCAGGCCTTTCTCAACAAGCAAATATGCTATGTTAAATATATATATATATATATATATATATATATATATGTATGTATATATATGTGTGTGTATATATGTATATATACACACACATATGTATCAGAATTATGGTAATTAAATTTTTTATTTTAAGTAAACAATATGAATTAGATGTGTTGGAAAAACAATTGGTATGAAATTTCACTTCTAAGAACAGCTTCATTTCTTTCTACTTTTCTTAAATACAACTGAAGTCTAAGTTTATATGAGAGCTAAGCAGGAATACCAAAAATTAGTTTCCAATTATATTCCATTGAAAATGTCATTGGAGATCTTAATTGTATGCAACCAAAAGACAGTGAGTACTAATGTCAGTTACAATTCACATGTGAAATGTGACTTTTGTTATAACATCAAGGCCCAAGTTCCTTTCTGTCTTTCTTTGTGGTATTCAGTTCTGGTTCCTGCTGTTCTTTTTAATATCACCATTGGTAGGAGGGCTATAAAAGACACATCTGTTTGTTAACCTTTAGGATATACAGATTTCCTGTTTATAAACACATTGTTTTCAATATGGAAATTCAGTCATTCTAAAGAAAGCTCAGGATTGTTTTCTGTCAGAGATCTGCTACTGTTCCAGATGAATTTAAGATATAAAGAGGCAAGAGACGAACTCAGAACACAAGAAAATCTAGAGCAGATATAATAAAAATAGCTAGGAACAGTACAGAGAGATTAGCTAATATTGTTTTCTCCAAAATAAGAAAAGACATTTTTAAATAGGTTAAGGCACATGGAGAATCATGATAGGTAGGCATTTGGGGTTCATCTTTATCCACGTGAATGTTTTTAGTTTCTGACCTCTCTCCTTTTTTTAGATCTGCAGAATTAAATTTTGTTTCTTGACTGGGTACTCCCTGTTGGTTAACTAGGAGAAAGAAGTGGTTGCATAATACTGCTCAGCTCAAGCTCTTTTCCAAACTTTTAAGTCATTTCTTTGTGTGTTTCATCCCCTACTCTCTCCCATGCCCATTACTTATGTAAAAAGTTTAATTCTGTAGAACCCAGTTTTTAACTCTTGTAACAGGTCCTGCCGACCTATTTTCCTTTCCTTTATTCTACATAGCACCCCTCTAAAGGCAATGATATTCTTGGGCTGTACAGAGATGAGGTAAAGGATAACTTTGTAGGTCCCCAGATGTATTGTAGATATATCACTTTCTAAAAATTTCCTGTGAGATGCCTTATATATGTAGGATACAAAGCCCTTGGGTGGTCATTGGAAAGTAACACCAATTATGCTGATTCTTTATGACATCAGAATTATTGAATTTTTAAAAAAATGTATCATTTCCCCCATTTACCAGAGGCGGTGCTCTTTTTAAACCTTTCCTTGAATTTTTTAGGACTTGGCACAATATGTAAACGAGGTGAAGAGAGATAATGAGACCCTCCGTGAAATAAAACAGTTTCAGTTATCCATAGAGAACTTGGTAGGTGACTTTTTAACCTTCAACAGGATGGGAATGGGTCAGTTTTCTGGAACTGCCTTTAGAGCAATGCATTTCCCAGTGTTCCTTCACTATTGCTGGTCTTCTTCAATTGCCCGGTTTGATTGACATCTGCTTTGGGGAACCAGCTCTCATGATTTTTAATCATTAATCAGGTCAGCTTCAAAAGCTCCACCTTTTCAAAAGGAAATAAGCTTACATTTTAGATTTCATGTAACTTAAATTCTTCTGATCTAATCCCCTTTTTGACCTGGAGAGAGATCTGATTTTCCCACTGAAAGCTCTACTTTGCCCCTGTCTCTCAATGGATACCCCAGCATCAAAAAAGGCAAGTTCATTTTCAAGTGTATTGTTTGGTCCCAGGTTCTCTGGACCCCATGCTATAAAAACGTAAAATTATTTCAGTGCCTATATGATAAACCAGTTCATCCTGGGGAGGGTGGGGAGGAATGTTTTCCCCCTCAAGTCTCATTCTTGTTTGCATGTGTCTATGTAAGAGTGAAACTCACCTTTTATGTTTTTAGAATCAGCCTGTCTTGGTGTTTGGAAGACCTCAGGGAGATGGGGAAATCAGGATAACAACCCTAGACAAACATACCAAACAAGAAAGGTGAGAGAAATGGAGTCATATGTGTCTTAAGAATTAATGAGTATCTAAGGATTGAGTAAAAGAAAATAAAAGTGAGAACATTGAAAAATTCCTCTTGCAGGGTAGGGGTGGGGAGAAAGATGAAGAAAAGATGGTCTCATAATATTCTATTTAGTAACCAGTTCAGCAGTATTCTAAAGATAGACAACCTCTCCTCTCAGTGGTCTGTTTTCTGTTGCTTGAGTCTAACTTAGGCTTCAATAGGGAGGAATTAAGTTTTCAATGTGATGCATGGGAATGGAGCCGTACCATTCCCATGAATATTTAAGGGCCAAGGTACCTCTCTTAGAAGTACTCCAAGTGGTCCATGAAGTGTTTATTAATAACTTAATATTGCACTTTGTGGGCCCTTTTTACAATGACACTATGGAAAACAAGCATGATGGGGAGGTCTTGTTTAGAGAACAGCCCACCTGCTTCCATGTGATCTCTTGTCATTTCACTTTTGTTTTGTTTTTCACAGGCACATCTTCTTGTTTGACTTGGCGGTCATCGTGTGCAAAAGGAAAGGTGATAACTATGAGATGAAGGAAATAATAGATCTTCAGCAATACAAAATTGCCAATAACCCTACAACTGACAAAGAAAACAAAAAGGTGCTGTCCTCCTAGATGCTGACAGATGTTATCCATGGGGAGCTTGTTAACCGACATGTACGATTCTAAGGTGCAAACTTCTGAGACCTTGTGACATCCTTGTGATGTGGCTGGATGCTGTCAGAGTAGATGGGGTTCCAGCGTAAACCACTGATTTTAATTGATGACACTACATATTCTTGAGTATGAATCGAGAGAGGTCACAGCTCTGACTGAAACAATCAAACAGCCACAGCCTGGGTGATCACGTTACTTCAGGGACCTTAAGAGTTGAAGAGGATCTCTCTGCAAACAATTGGGCTGCAGATGTTGGTGCAGAATTGAGGCCGCTGGAGGTGATGAATCAGAGTATCATAAATTTAGAATTAGGAGGGGCCTTGAGAGGCCCTTGAGCCCAATGCCCTCATTTTCTAGCTGACAAACTGAGGCACAAAGGAGATCGATGCCTTGTCCAGGATCACCCAGTCATTAGGTATAGCATCATGGACTTGGAGTCAAGGAGACCTGGGTTCAAAACCTGTTTCTGATACTTGCTGGCTGGGTGACATGGGACGGGGTCATTGAAGGACTCCTAGCCTTAGGTTCTTCAGCAGCATAATGGAAATGATAATAGCAACCCCCTCACTAGATTGCTTTGAGGTTTGAATGAGATAATGTATCTAAAGCATTTTACAAGCCTTAAAGCATTCTACACAAGGTCATAGACCTAGAGCTGCACAGAACCTTGGAGACCATCCATTCCAACCTTCCCATTATAGAGAAGTAAACTGAGGCCAAAAGAGTTGAAGCCACCTGTTCAAGGCCACACAGGTAGTAAGCGACAGAGCCAGGCAGTCAGTAAAGATTATAAGATTGTACATTTAAAACTAGAAAGAACCTCAGAGGCCATCTAACCTGATGCCTCCATTTTACAGATGAGTAAACTGAGTCCCAGAGAAGTGAGAAGACTTGTCCATCAAGTGTCAGAGCTGGGATTTAAACCTAGTTCTTCCTGACTCTAAAGTCACCAAGGCAGCTAGGCAGCATAACGAATAGAGCACTGGGCCTGGAGTCAGGAAGACTTGTGTTCAAATTTGGCCTTAAACACTTCCTAGCTATGTGACTCTGAGTAAATCACTTAACCTCTATTTGTCTTGACTTCCTCAACTGTAAAATCGATATTATAATAGTATCTACCTCTCAGGGTTATTGTAAAGATCAAATGAGATAATATTTGTGCTGGTGCACAAATTTGTGCTGTATACCTATTCCAGATGTATAGAGAGCTTTATTTTTAATTCTGTGTTATGATCAAATGCGATGTTGCTGCTACCACTGTAGATGGCTAAGTCAGGTGCTCATAGTGGGTACTTATGGCCAGGTATGGGTTTTTTTTTTTTTAAAAAGGATGTTAGTGGGATGTCAGAGAACATGAAAATATAGCACTATGTATTAATCAGTGAATTAATGATTCATTTCCACAGTGGTCTTATGGCTTCTACCTCATCCATACACAAGGACAAAATGGACTGGAATTCTATTGCAAAACAAAAGATTTGAAGAAAAAATGGCTTGAGCAGTTTGAAATGGCACTGTAAGTATCCCTGCTTCCAAAAGTAACTCCCTTCCCTGCTTAATACCATTTACAAATCATGTCCTAAACAATAGGCTTTCCACTTGGGGCCATCCTTGAAGAGCTGGAGGAGGCTCCCTTCCCTCCAACCTTGGAGGCAGCCTGTCTGCCTGCTGGCTACAAGTGCTCACAAAGAAAGGCCTTCCCTGAACCACGCTAAAGAAAAGAAAGAGGGAGCCATGAGCTCTCTTTTGAAGGCCTTCTCCTCTGCTGGGATTGTTTTAATGCTTCAGATTGCCACAGCCTCTGAAAATATCAAATGTTCAACTCACAAAAATTGCCCATGATTGTGACCTTTTAAAGCTCTGTCTTTGGCCCATTTATTGAAATGTCTTTTTTAGGAGAGATGTAGAAGTGCTGACTTTTTCCTTGGGCTCTCCTCCCCCACCTATTCCCACGTTTTTAAAGTAATTTATCATTCAAATTGCTTTCCTGTTATAAAAGAGAAAACCCCTAACAACTTTTTTTTCAGACGTGTTTAGAAATTATAAAGCTCAAAGAGATATAATTGTCCCATGACGCAGGCGTTTCTCATTCATTTTGGCATCTGCAGCTTGAAAAGTACACAGTAAGTGGGGAGGCCAGATTACAAGTCTAGGCTACACAATTTAGAAACACTATCATGTCCTCCCCTTTGCTTTCCTGGCTTCCCTGGCTTCCTTCAAGTCTCAGCTAACATCCCACCATCTACAGGAAGCCTTCCCCGATCCCTCATAAGGCTAGTGCCTTCCCTCTAAGATTATCTTCAGTTTATCCTATACATTTCTTATTCATTCATCATTGTTGACATGTTATCTCTCCCATCAGATTGTGAGCTCCTTTGAGGGCAGGGACTATTTGTGAGTCTCTTTGAATCCCTAGCTCTCAGCATGGTTCCTGACAGACACATAGTAGGCACTTAATACATGGTTGTTGGATTACCATGTGAAGTCATCAGTGAGAAAGATGATAATTTGAGCAAAAACCTAATCTGAAAATGTGGTTTTGGGATCAGTTCCATCTGAGCACAGAAGTCCTTGAGGATCATAGGAAAACTTTGTGACTCATGTTGAAATTACTTCTCAATTGGAAATGAATGTTTTTTACTATAGTTTTGGTTGAGGGAACCCAGTATTTTGTTTAATAACTTATCCATCATCTTCTTCTACATCTGTTTCTTTGTACGAATCCAAGGGTCTAATGCAAACATAAATGCATGAAGTCCTTGGGTCTTGGCCAGTGAACCATTCTAATGTCTGCCTATCTTTGGAAACATAATTTAGTATTCCCGGTTACGATAATTGAATATAACACGAGAGGTACAGTGAGTTCATGCACCAGCCAATCCAAAGGGACCTTTTCTGGTTTGGCACTAAGGATCATGATTTGGTGGTTTAGCTATTCATCCCTTGAGAATGGTGAGCCATATCATAAACCCACAGTGCTATTTAATGCAGCTGCATGTGATGGGCAGTTGCAGGGTTCCCGTAGACCAGTGAGACTTAAACTAGATGAGCCAACCCATTCTTGGGGAAGAATGGCATTACCACTCTTTGGCGAGCTTCTGTGTAAAAAGAAGTGTGCCATAATGACCAAAGAGGGCTGGCCCAGGAGCCAGGAGGACCTGGGTTCAAGACTTGTCACTGTTATGAGTGACAAGAGGCAAATCACTTAACATCTAAATGTCTCTAAGCACCTCAGTAATACTGTATAAGTAAGTAACAGAAGAGTTTGAAGCCTGCATTGGTGAAGGAAATTTCCTAACTGGGAATTCCTCACATAGGTGATATCAGATTTCTCATATATATACCTTATACATATATATGCAAGCATTCATGAATACATATATGCATAGATACATTTGCATATATATGAATGTGTGTGTACACACACACACACACACACACACACACTCACTCACAAACTCACAAAGAAGGGCTTCCCTGAACCACTCTAAAGAAAAGAAAGCGGGGGCTATGAGCTCTCTTTTGAGGGTCCTCTCCTCTCCTGGGATTGTTGTAATGCTTCAGATTGCCACAGCCTCTGAAAATATCAAATTTTCATACAGACATTCTATCTATCTCTATCTCTGTCTCTATCTACCTATCTTCCTTCCTTCCTTCCTTCCTTCCTTCCTTCCTTCCTTCCTTCCTTCCTTCCTTCCTTCCTTCCTTCCTTCTTTCTTTCTTCCTTTCTTTCTTTCTTTCTTCTCTTCTTTCTTTCTTTCTTTCTTTCTTTCTTTCTTTCTTTCTTTCTTTCTTTCTTTCTTTCTTTCTTTCTTTCTTTCTTCCTTACTTTCCTTGTGAGTAGATAATTGACCTCAGAATCAAGAAGATCTGGGTTCAAAATCCATCTCTGACATATACTATGTTTGTGACCCTGGGAAGTTACTTGACTTTTTGTGCCTATGAAAATCTCTTAAGACTAAAGTGGCAGAGCAGGTGCTGATTTGCTTTGGTAAGTGAAATTTCCTCATCAGGAAAATAATTCCTTTTGTGGAAGGATTGCATTAGAAGGACTCTGAGGTTTCTTCTAGTTCTCAAATTCTGTAATACTATTAGTTTCTTAACCAATATACTCACACACGTGAATATGTGTGTATATACATATACAATGTATTACATGCATTTATACCATGCATACTAATATGTGAGATGTCTGTACACATGCAATATGCAGAGATGTAGTTTATATATGTGTGTGTATATGGAGACACAGAGAGAGAGAGAGAGAGAGAGAGAGAGAGACAGAGACAGAGAGAGAGAGAGACAGAGACAGAGACAGAGAGAGATATGATATGCATGCCTTTATGTATGATTCCTGGTCAGTTCAGCTAACATCCTCTAATTTTGGCTTAGAGAAAATGCAGCCTTGAATGCTAAACTCCAACCCTGAAAGTACTCATCATCTGCAGTTGCATTAAGCAGTACAGTGGGTTTATAGGTTACACTACTCATCACTAGAGATGAATAGTAAATCCACCAGCTTCATCACTATTTATGATCCAGATCAGACAGGGTGTCTAGGGACTACTTGATTCTTTATGACACTGAACCCCCAAAGTTCTTGAACTATTTTCAATTATCATAACACCTATATATACAAATATATACATATACATACACATAAAAACATATACATACATAAACATTTAAACTCTTGCTTAAAATTATACATATATACTATATATTTACATGCATATGTGTGTGTACACACACACACACACACACACACACACACACACATTTATACAAATAAAGAATGAACTCAGCTGGTACAGAGAATTGAGATGATTTAATCCAGAACACATTTTAATTACTATCAAGAAGTGGTTGAATGTCTTTCGTGTGTCAGAAATTTTACAAGGTGCTTTCCTATCCCTGTCCTTAGGAACTTTAGAATCTAATTTTCAAGACAGCATCAATTGCTAGGTCTCCAGGGCTGATGAGATGGACCAGAATAGGGATAGCTGACATGTGGAAACTAGACAAATCCATCTACTCACAATAGTAGATTCTATAAAATCTTCTATAGGCAGGTCCCCAGTGTTAGGAGGATGTCAGGATAAGTGGGAGAAGTCACAGTGGAGTACGGGGGGTAGGCAGTCTGTAAAAGTCCAGCCAAATTAATAGCAGGTAGGTATGATGGAGGGCAGGGGAATTGCCTCAGCATGGGATGGAACATGGCATTTGGGAGGTCTGGTGTCAGAGGAAGGTTCTGGTAGATAGGCATTTGGTATGAGAGCAGCATTGTGGGACATAGCAGGAATAAGGCTACAGAAGCTGCCTCTCTGTTACTAGGCCTTTGCCTATCAACCTTGTTGAATTCATTCTACTCCAGATTAATATGCTTCCCCATTTCCAACAAAATAAAGTACAAATTCCTTAGTCTGGCATTCAAGGCTGTCTGTGATCTGTCACTATGCTGATCTTTCAAGCCTTTATTCTTATTCAGTCGAGTCTGATTCTTCATTGACCCCATTTTGGGGTTTTCTCGGCAAAGATACTGAAATGGTTTGCCATTTTCTTCTCCAGCTCATCTTACAGATGAGGAAACTGAGGGAAACAAAAGGAAAAAAAAGCAAGAAAAACTAAGAAAGTGAAAGAAAATATGCTTCAATCAGTGCTCAGAATTTATTATTTCTCTCTCAGGAAGTGTATAGAATCCATATTTTTTTAAAAGACAGATTTACATTTACGTGTTTTTAAATTTTTAATAAATGCAGCTAGGTTGCACAGTGAATAGAGCATTGTACCTGGAATCACAAAGACCTGAATTCAAATTCACCCTCAGATACTTACTAGCTGTGTGACCCTGGGCAAGTCCCTTAACCTCTATCTGCCTTAATTTCCTCAACTGGAAAAACAGGAATAACAACAGCACCTACCTCCCAGGGCTGTTGTGAGGATCAAATGTGGTAATATTTATAAAGCTCTTAGCACAATGCCAGGCACATAGGTGCTTAATAAATGTTTATTCCCCTTTAAAGGCTCTTCAAGGGTTTATAACTGATCTTGTATTCCTTGCAGCCAAGATGAATTACTTAAATTACTAGGTTCTGGTTATGAGGCTTTTAAGGGACAGCCTGATATTGCAGGAAAGAACGTTGGTGTAGATATCTGAAGGTTGCTGCCCTAGCTCCTCCTCTCATGATAGAGATCTTAGCGTTTAAGAACTGGAAAAGGGCTTGGACATTACCACGTGTGGCCTCAAGGCCACAGGTTCCCCACCCCTGAGTCCTAGTTCTTGTCATGGGACTTTGAGTATATTGCTTCTTGGGGTTCCTGTATGTGTGCGCAGGAACACACACACACACACACACACAGCACGCGCACACACACACACACGCATGCACACACACACGCACATATACACACATATATGAGGAAATGAAAGGTAAGGTAGTTGTGTATATACATGTATATGTATGCATATGTGTGTGTGTATCTTTATGGAGGGAGAGAAGAAAGACAGAGATAGAG